TGAGTAGAATTCCTGAGACAAGGACTGACAGATTAAAACAATACATCCACATCTGAGCATCCAGAGGATAACATCTTCAACTGCTCAGTGTTTGTCCCATTTAACTCCATTTGCAGTTCAAAATGCCTCTCTAATCCCAGTATGTGGAAGCTCACTTTAATAAATCATTTTTCAGTAATTCATTCTGAAACACAAATTATTTTGTATACAAAAATCAGAATACAGTGGTTTTGCATTTACTTGTATTATCTTCTCCATTGGCCAACAGCTAATCCTGTAAAATACTCCCACTTACAGAATTATATCAACCAAGTTTCCATCTAAGATACTACACAGATTAATAGAATTCACTTTCTCAAAATAACAGCACATATTTAGTACACCAGTCTAAACACCAGGATAGGACCTCAAAGCACAGACCTATTGTTGCACTCCAGTTTTCAGTTATTTCTATAAAGATAAACCCTTAAATATGTCTGTGAAGAACTAAAAGAAGTGATCTCTAAAGCAACCATGCGGACAGATTTAACAACCTGCCTGCAATTTCCCCAGCATTTTGCAAATAGCCTAGCACCAACTCTTCCTGTGATGCATTACCATGCAGGGCCTATCCAGGCGTGCTCTGACCACACTGGGACAGGCTGTCTGCAAGTCCCATCTCAATGGCTGCCTCATGAAAGCCCTTTACAAAGCTTACATTTACAAAGGCATACATTCTAAACCTTTACTCAATCTCCAACTACAAAGGGAGCTTTTAGGGCAGAATTTGGTCTATAGATTGTTTTGATATATTGATATGACTACTCCATTCACTGTGAAACAATTTTAGCTAATCAAATCAGGAAGATGAATCAACAGGCTACCTTCTGTGAATCGCAAGTCTACACTGGACAAGAAATACCAGATAGAATGAGAGTTTGTTTTCTGCTTTGACAATATATTATCAGAGATTATCTGCTTGAGCAGAAATTAAACTATCACAGCAAAAGCTGTATTTGTATATTTTTCAAAGTTATGTTTGGTAACATAAATGTCAAGAAACTAAGAATAATGAGTTTCAAAACACAAAACTTCTATTCCACCTGTAATACGCCCTTGTCCTCTATTACGATTCTGAAACTAGGCTCAGTATGAACCTACAGTACTGCAGCTACAGAAGGAAGTTAGAGTTACTATGAAATTACTTAGACTGCAGCCTTATGCAACACACACACATACATATCAATGTAAATCAGAACCAACTGTACTTACTTGGGGTGCTAAGGAATAAATTAATGTTCATTTTAGTAATCTTTATCATATCCAGTCTCCATTTGTGACTATATATTTATAATAATGTAAATCCACTTCTGATGACAATTCTACAAGCATGCATATTTCAGGCAGCATTGAAACAAAAAGTGAATTTATTTATAGAATAGTTAGGGTCGGAAAGGACCTTAAAGATCATCTGGTTCCTGCGCCCCTGCCATGAGCAGGGACACCTTCCACTAGACCAGGTTCTTCAAAGCCCCATCCAACCTGGCCTTGAACACTGCCAGGGATGGGGCATCGTCATCAGGCATTGTTTAGTATCCGACCATAAAAGTATGGCACAAAACCACAAATGTCAGAACACGTATAACTGATTCTAAGAGATTCTTAACTTTCAACCACTGAAGACAATACAATAAGGCTCTGCTGACCTCAATGATTTTACAAGTTTAAGTCTGTAAGAATTTTACTGATGTCTTGTGCAACTATATGCTGGAGAGCAACACTGGAGAGCAGTCGAAGCCTATGAGAACATGACGATTATCACACAGTGCAGGATCTGTATTTGCAGACAGCAGCTGAAACTTCCAAATGGTCTTTTACAAGTACAGCATTTCTGTAAAATTAAGTATATTAAGTACCTGATAGTAAGAGATCTGTTCTTTCAGCTAAGAGAAAAACCTGATTTTACGATCTAAGTCCTACTTCTCAATATTACTGAATGAAAGATAACAATTTAATTATCCCTTAAGCAGCCACTCTCTTCCATATCCAGCCTATCCTAGTTTAGCTTCCCAAACCCAGAGACCAAACATCTTTTGATGCATTCATCAGCATTTCATTTTCTGTGTTCCAGTATCTCAGACCACAAAACATCCCAAAGAGAATACATACTATGCACCTGCTAGAGAACTAATATATGACATGCATATGGGTATTATAATTTGGATTTACACAGCTTCATAATACACTATACACAATGGGTTTTAATAATAAGTCTAAAACAGAGTTCAGATCAATAGATCTCACACCTCATGTGCCATAGATCACTACCTAATAAGATAAGCTTTATGTATTCAGATCAACATAAGATTTTTCAATCTCTCTCAAAATTACCAAGTGAAAAAACATCGGAGTTCAGCTGGGGCATTATCATAATCCCACCAAAAGAAAACATTTTTTTTCAGTCAAGGTAAACCATTCAAATTTACTCCAGTGCTGGAAAAATACAGCGTTGGAAGCAATTAGACTGAAAAGAATGCTCAAGCTGCATCACTCAAGGGAGTGGACAGATCATGATAAAGGAAGACTAGTTACAAACACTTGATCAGAAAAGAAGCATCATGAATCACTTCCCCATTCTCCACAGAGCCCATGCCACAGGTGTCACTCCCCTTAATATTTTTCTTACCTTCCATGTCCTCCATTTCTTCAACTACAGTTATCAAGTAGTGTCAATTCCCTAGCCTAGTATCTTTACTGTATCACGTGCTGCTGCAAAACCAGCACCACAGGATGCACTTGCAAGGAAGTACTTTGGAGCCCAGAAGAGGATAAAACAGAATTTTACAGCAAGAATTTAAAGGGGAATCTCAAAGAGTAGTGAGAATACAGACAGTGTAGCCCAACAATTAGCACAGCAGGTCCCCATTGTTCACCGAAATGGAACATCAGGGCTGTATTGCTAACACCATTACAGACAAGAGGTAAAACTGAAACAGGCTTCTTTAAATAGTAGGTGTTTGCAAAGAACTGGCGGTGTCAGATATCCCTAAGTGACAACTAGTCATTTATATAAAACACACAGCAAACTCCGGTCACCTGGTATGACTCCCAATTCATATACTGGATAGGGGAAACTGCTAAAAGCACAGCACAAAGGAAGACAGCAGCTGATGTGGGACAATAAACTGAGCAGAACTGCTGAAATTGCATGAGGGAGCAAAGTGATTCTAGAAGAATCACTGTATCTTCCTCAAAGATTAAAAAGTTTTAACACTTAGCATATCAAAAGCCCTGGCAATACTTCTGTGGCATGCAAGTGAACTGTCAACTGTCTGTTAAGAGATTCCATACAGATTTAATATGTATCTATGTGCTGATTCCTCTTTTACGCTTCATAAGTCCAGCTTATTCAAACCACAAAATGTATTACAAAAACATGTAATTGTCTACTACTAACAGGTGATTTGAGCAGTTCAATACCTACCCTCTCTAGTTGAGTATGCAGTCACAGTACATCCAGGCAGGTACTACCTTAACTGCAGGGGGTTTTGATAGGATTTCTAAACACTACCAGAGTACCACAAATAAGGAAAACAGAAAAGAGAAGTTTTCAGATAGCCTAACCTTACAAATTTTTTTAAAAGACTCTTCTAAAGGAAATTGAGTGTTTTTGTTATCCATATTATACCTTGCCATTTTTCAATATTCTCTAAAGTTATATTGTTAATAGGTAACAAAGTTATTTTGTAACACAGTATTTACTTTTATATTGCTTTAGTAGCAAAGACAGACTATTGTATTTTCATGAAGCAGATCAAAATGGAAACTCAGACATCCAGCTTTCTTGTTAACATTCAAATTCTTTACAGTGTTAGATTCTGCTTTTAAGTGTTCCTTCTCTTTCCTCCTCTTTTTAATTCAAGTTATTGTACCTGTGTTTATATATAAATTGCTCCGAGCAATATATATTTAGTTTTCAGAGACCATTTGGTCAGATTCTAATGTCTCCTGGGAGCTGACACCAGCTTCCAGCAGCAGGTCATATACTGCAGATTAGAATAATAAAACACATGCTGCTGCAGCTTCAAAAAAAAAGAAAAATCATGTAAGTCTGTCTTTATCAAGCTGAAGAATGAGGTTTTGAGACATCTTAGATGTCTTCTAGGCAGAGCTTTCATTTTATTTAAAGACATAAATCCAGTCACTTCTGGTTTTTTTAATTCTTTTAAACCAAGAATGTGCCATTGCAAAGATTTTGTTCCAGATTCCACATTTCTTTTTGTCCTTACAGTTAATACAGTGTTACTTAATTGACCAATATAGAAAGCCTGTATTTTACAAATTTGTATTAAACTGAAATATATCTTTATTTACACAATGAAGCATTTTTCCCTGTTTTGAAATAAAATAAATATGTAATTTTTCCCATGTAAAGGTGGTTTGGTTTTAGGGTTTGGGTTTTGGGGTGCGGTTTTTCCAAATTCTTTGTGTAAAGGTAAAGAAAATAAATGTCTTGAAACTTAAAAGAAAAACACTGGCTTAAAAAGAAACTGGTATTTCTTCTCCAGAGTAGCATTATATTAGGGTATCTGTCAATGTAATATAGCTGAATTATATATTTCTCCCTTACAATGCACTATTCTTTATTATAGCATTCTCACTACAAATCTCAGGTGGATTAAAGTTTGTCATATTTGACCTCTTTGATTAAAAGCAATCCACTGCATAATGATTTTTTACACTACTCTGTAAAATGAACAGTTCCACATGCATAAATGCTAGCAGGAATCAGCATCTCCTGTTTCTTTCTCCGACCTTCAACAACCCTATCCTCTGCAGAAAAAAAATAACAGTTTTACTAATGTATAAGCACCATGCAGGCACAGGCAGTCTAGAGAGAAACGTCTTTAGCAGCTGCAAAGAAAAAACATGAGAAAGCTTCCACAAAGAGAAATTCTGAGAGCTTAACAGAAAAACAAAAAGGAAGAGGTGTGAAGATTTAAAATAGTCCCAATACTCACTGAAAGCAGCCACTGCAAGAGCCAGTGTGACAATAATGGAGACCCAGGAAACCCACAATGCCTTCTTTCTGTAGCTTTGAGCTTCATGAGGTTTTAGCCTTGTACTGCTTTCTAGTAAACCTGATAAGCAATAAGCAAAGAGGGTATGAACAATACATTGCTCCTTTTAAAAACACAGCTGTGTTAGTTCAGACCTAGATCACACATTTACATTACATATAAAATCAATACAGAATCAAATCCTGCTCACATTATTAAGGTTAATTGAATGAAGCTACCAGAAACATACAAGTAAGCAAGGAGATCACACAAAAGTTGTTTTGATTTCACATAGAAAGACCCACACATCAGTGACTTGAAAAGAGCACTGCAATTGTAGGGCAGTTACAGAAATTCACATAACTTATATTTTCCATCTGTACATCTACACAAGAAAGGGCTCAGTCCTACAGTCAGATAAAACACACTTCAGGACTTCAGGATCCTGAACATAATTAACATAGAAGAAAAACTTTTGCTCACCAGTCTCTGCAAAATAACCTGCCAATGCACAGGAATATACTGCACATATTGAGCATCAAAGTAGAAAGGGGCATACTTTAGAACCAAAGTTACCACAGCTGAAAAAAACTCTTGAAGCATAACATCCTTCATGTGAGGTGGTAATACATCCCCATCTAAAACTAACTGAAGAACCAATTCGGTCCTTATTACAATCTTTGAACACAAGGGAATGGGACAGCTTTCTCTCATTTTTGATACTTTCAATTTGTGGAAGTCTTTTGTCCGCTCATCTTAAACCACAGAGAAGAATTCAGGTTAAAAATAAAGAAAATAACAACATTGTTTGGTTTTCATCTGCTCAGTCTAGGTCTTATGCCACTTTTAAAATGCATACAGAATTTAACACAATTGCTCTCCATATATACCATGCAGATTCTTTTGTGCTTAATATACTCATCTAATTTAAAACATACATTCTTTTTCACCAGCAAGTTCCAGCTCAAATCTGCTTAAATGGAGAGAACACCTGATGGCTTTTAACTTTCTTAATGCACTACTTCAGAAAATATGGGTGATTCCTCTTAGATGATGATGACTTTTCAGAGGCATTTGTCTGCACTGAATGCATTGAACTGGGGCACTGGTTTAATAGAACCTCTCAGCAGCTGGTCTAACATCTCAGACAAAGCGTTGAGAACAGGGTCTCTGGCAGACTCAGCAGCAGATTAAAACACAACAGCTGAAGCCATTACCATCCTTACCTTTCCCAGTTTTCCCTCTGATAGCTGTTGCCACTTTCAAAGAAGGGACACCTGATCTAGCTATTGGTATAATTCTGAACCCACAACATGTTTAACCAAGTTTATTAATGTTAACAGATATTAATTTTAACTGACTGCAATATACTGGCTGAAAACTGCAATGGTTTTGGAATCAATACAGAAGGGAATCAGACATCTCTGCCCCAGGGGCAGCAACGTGTCAGCGGAGGGGCAGGCATCCAGGGGTGGTAACAATTCCAGCCCCTAGATTTTATTCTGCCACTGGTTTTGATCCTAGCGTAATTGGTGGGATTCACACTGACTTGGAAAGATTCTTCATGCTTTTTTCACCTCAAATACAATAATGCAGAGAGAGTTTCTTCACAACTGATCAGAAAGCTTCTGTGGGAATTTCATGCTTATACTGTGTTTTTCGAAAAATTAAATTATTACTTCACTTTTGTGCTACACACTCCCCTTCTTATGAATAGAAAAAGAATTTGCAAACTTGCATGCACTAGGCCCTACAGTGAAATAATGTTTATTTCTTATTATGTGCATTCTCTGTCTATTTAATACACGAAAACTATCAGATGACAATTCTGAAAGGCTTGAGTCTTTTACTGATAGTACTGCACAGCTATTTCTCAAATAGCTTGCTTTCATTTGTGTATTTTTTTCTCTCTACCCAATGTCTGGCCTAAATTCTGCTATTACACATAATGATGCAAAGTTTAATTGCTGTCTGATATGAGGTAATAATACATCTTGAAATATAGAAGATACTTCTACTCATATAAGCATAGAGAAAGCACATCTTACATTTTGTGTCCTCGTGCCTCTTGCCCCCCCCCCACCCCCAAACCAAGGATTTTAAATTACAGTTCAAATCTTGTTGGAATGTAAAGCAAAGTAGGTTTTCTTAGCCAATTTTGATTCTCAATATTTCATATCTCAAATAAACACACACCAGAATGACAGACATCCTCACCTGTTTCTCTCTTTAAATAAATCTTGTAATTCATGGCTACAGCTCACTATTGTCTTGGAAGTCCAACATACACAGTTGATACTTATAAACCAAATAATATCCTAATTAAGTTGGGAAATGAATAATAAGTCCCACAGCTAGTGCAGCACTGCTGATTACTATTCACATGTCAAGTACGTGTCCAGTATGACACAGACCGCAATCCTTATAAAACTGAACCACTTCTGCTGTGTGTGTGTTTCTCTCTCAAAATGGCTGGCATATTCTAGCTGTCAGAGGTGTGATCCCTTCCTTCCCAGAATAACTCGAATAATTTTTCTGTAATTACGATTTTCACCCCTGAGAAAGATCATATTATTCTTTAGAATGTCCTAGGGGACGGCACACAAAAACACAAGCTCATTAACAGGACGACTAAGCCCATAGCATGAAAATTATTTAGAAGCAACAACAGCTCATTAATTTATGTACAACAACACAATTCACAAGGTAAACCTCCATATTTTTTCCACTGACCATAACGAAACAAGTTTTAAGCATCCACAGGAGGCTGGAACATAAATCTTTCAGTATGATCTGTGTTGCTACAGAAATAAAAAGCTAGTGTTTACTGATAAAATTCCTCCACCCTGAAATTAACAAACTGAGTAATTTTACTGCCATGAATTTAACACATAGATATCCTTAAGCTAAAGAAGAGATATGATCTGGTTAAAGCCACTGGATTTTTACTTTATCTTTCAATACCTTCACATATTAACAGATTTTCTTTCCATAAAAAAATCAGAAGGAGAAAAACCTGCCTAACAGTTGCAGAACACAAGCTTGGCATATTTGTGAAGTGATTCTAGGATATTCTTTACCATATGCTGACTTACCAGAAGTACTTTTCTGTTTGGCTAAGGGATCATTTTAAAATGTCAAGTTAGAATTCGTGGAAGAGATAAGGCTAACAGAAAAACTGTTCACCTAAGATGTTAATTTAAGGACCCCATCCACAAAATCATCACTGGTTTTGAATCTGGCTCTTAAAAAGCAAGTATCTTGTTCCAAAATTTAGGGTTAGTTTTTATTTTTAGCAATCATGGAAGTATCAGCTCTATAATTGAATCTGCTATGATTCATTGGAAAGGATCATAAGGAAAAGTACAATCTAAAAGGACAGACTGTAATAATTTCAAAAGGGACAACATGCAAAAAGCATACCAGATTTTCCTCTACAATGACTGGGAATCATCCTGGCAAATGGAATTGGTGACTACAAAAAAGGCTAAAAGAAAGCTACTGCAAGGGCTATAGAAAGACCATGAAAGCAGGGAAGGAAATAAAGTCAGCAGCTTTAGTCTCAACTCCCTCCTAGAAAGAGGTAAGGTTAGGTATGACAGATACACTCTCCTTTTGGAATTGCCCTTAATACCTAAAGGGCCAGCTTCATCTTCAGCTCTGTTATACTGAGCACAAATTACAAATTTCTGTAGTCAAACTCCCATGTTTGAACTATAATCAAAATTCCTGATTCCCATTATTTAAACCGAATTGAAGCCTCGAATTGCCCTCAGTCACAATGTCTGTCCTCTGCCATTGGCAATGACAGCAAGGCTACCCCCAGAGAAAGGGCTGTCCCCAGCCCAGGCATGACTGAAAGCTGTCAGGGAAGATGGTGACTGCTCTTCCCCTTTACTTCTCTACTTCATGTCTAGGATTTGTGAGCAGCCACACGCATTTTGAAAACCAGGAAAAGAACAGGAGATAGAGAGGTTATACAGAATAGGATGAAAACTAAGAACACAAAAAAGACTGAAGAATGCTGAAAGTAAAAATAAAAAAGAAAGAGGAAGAAATGGCAACAGAGAGACTAAGTAACGCCTATATGCAAAATAAAAAACGAGGACAAACTGTGGAAGAAAAGCCTGGAGGCGTTGTGTAGGACAGGGCAATGGGGAGGGTTAAAATGGCAGCTGTCTTTATGGGCAGCAGGTGAGTGCCTCACATGCTATTAACAAATACCTGAAATACGTGTGCTTCACATTAAAAAGTATCACAGTTTGGAAGCAGGCAGCTTTCCATCCCTGGTCAGATATTTAGGCTAATAATAATAATTTAAAAAAAAGAAAAAAAAAGAAGAGTCATGTAGAAGTGCATTACACTGTAGGGGAAGGAAGACAAGGAATAAGGTAAGCACCCTGACTGCGCTACCCAGCTGGGCTGCAGCGGAT